TGGTTCTTAGAAATGTGTGATGAATTGGGACTAACTAGCAATGGAACATTAATAAGGAAGAGTTGGTTGTCATCGGATCGATCGTTGGGAAGTGAGAAGGATTGAGAATCCTCCAATTTTCATGTATTATGAAGGCTTAGTCGAATCTAAGTGGGGGAGTGTTACCCCGGGATGCGGAAGTGGGTGAGGTTTTGAAACGGGGATAAGTTTCACAACCCGACAGGGAGAATAGAGGCCCTAGTGGCTGTTTGGTTTGAGGGTTGTGTTGATTGGGGGTTTGGAAAAACTCCCCAGCATAAGAACACATCTTCTGGGTGCTTGATAGCAGAAGTTGGGGAACCAGGTTGGAGTTTTAGTCAAAAAACGAGTTCAGTTCGAGTATTCGGTCGAGAGTGTGCTCGACTCTGAGGTTTTTGGATTGATGGATTGAGGGTTTTGTTAGCTGCCAGGGCTCAGCAGTGCATTCATCACGGGAGTGCGGGTTACTTAGCGTGTGTGGTAGACACGCGGGCAAGGGAACAGACCTCGGATTTCCTAGAGGGTGGACGATCGACATGAGGCCTAAGGCTAGGCTGGGGATATAGTCCACAGAGTAGATCAGGAGTTCGAAGCCCCAAGTGGGTGAGAACAAGATGCATGGGAGAGAGCATAAAGAGGGGTGGTCCAGGGAGATGCTCAACAGTTTAGAGCGGTCCGAAGGCTCGGAGAACGGTCTAGATAGACTGAAGGCCTGGTAGGGCGGTCCAGTCATGCTAAAGACTCTGTATATGTTGTAGATCTATGTTCGGGTATTGAGTAGGCTGCTACGCTATAGCAATCAATAGGTTTGTTCCAAGTATTGATCATGCTGTTGGAGTAGGCTGAGAACTTCGGTGTATTTTGGTTGATCGGAAGTTGTTATTAGTGGTCGGATGGAGTCCAAAGGACCTTGGTGATCTCATCAGTTCGGAGTGTCTCCGAGGTTTCATCTTCTTGGGTCGGGTAATACTGCAGTTGGGGACTGAGAGTGGATCCGAATGGGTGTTCTTCAATTTTAGGAAGGTTTGGGATTAGAATATCCTGTCATTCAGGTTTTGGGAACCGGGTTAGATCTTTCTCATGATCGTCTATGTCATTTGGTTGGGGTTGAGGCGGTCCTGCTCTATGCAGTCGGCCAAGATACCCGGTGCGGGCCGACTGTAAGTCGTAGGCACGGAGGCTCGAAGGGAGCGGTAGGGTTGAGGCGGTAGGCCAACAAACCCTGAGAATTTCAACTCAATAGTTAAATTGATTAGACATGTTGGTATTCTAACCCGAAGGGGTGATATGGGTTAGATATGAGTGTCGTACTGGTTGGCCGGTAGTGGTAGGTATGTTGATGATGGTTGAGTTATTATGATGTGTCTTGGGATTCATGTGTGGTAGTAGTTTTTGTATCGTATGTTGTTCGTTGATGAGATGAGCATCGATTAGGCCCTTCGAGTGGCGGAGGACAGTGGATATATGCAGGGTCGGAGTGTTGGGCAACTGAAGTGGCGACAGTAGTGTCGATCGGTCATTGGGAGCATTCCAGGCATGAGCCGAGGGCCGGGGAGGGCATACCAGACTCATGATGCGGGCTCAGAGGCAATCTAGACCTATGCTGAGGACCACGTAAGGGTATTCCAGTCATAGGTTGTGGGCATAGAGATTGTGTGATTATGTCTGTTGTAGGAGCGCGTTCGGATTGGATATATTGTTGAGATTTGGGTAAGTTGTACTCGGTTGTGTCGAATCAGAGGAGTTTGAAAGAGATGCAAGGATAGATCCTTGGATTCCAAGTATGGTTGTGGACATGGGATATGTATGAAGTGGTATTCCCATCTAGGGTATTCCATCATGAGGATGGCCGGACCCTATGATTGATTGGACCTGGTGTGTTTGGTATTCCAACCTGAGGGTTGATTGGGTCAAACATGCATGAGGATGCGAGGGTATACCATCCTAGGGATGACTGGACCCGTCATAGGCATACCTGGTATTCCAGCCCGAGGCTAATTGGGCCAGGTATGAGTTTTTATGCAATATAACTGATTATTCATGAGAGTTGCTCGGAAGCTGAAGGATGCGTCATCCTGTCAGCGAGGAAAGGGACTAGATTCAGGAAGGGAAATGGATGAGTTTCAATATTGCAAGTTACCCGGGTTATCGCCAGTTTTGTAAAGGGGAGGATCGATTAATATTGTGAGAGAGAGCCCCGTGAATTATATTAGTAACCAACCTTCGCCGGTCACGAAAGTGCGTGCATGACAGGAAGGTGGAAGTATCATCGGGTGATACTTAGATTGATATGTGTGGATGTCAAGGAGAAGAGGCCGGTGGAAGGCTTGGAGCAATAGGTAGGGATCCTGCTCAGGAAGGAGTTGTCCTTAGAAGGGACGCGGTAGTAGTTCCTGAAGAGATTTGGGCTGGTTTGGGAGATCGGAGGCTGCAATGTAGGAGTGTTACCCAGAATCGTGTGCTGCAGCAGGCTTCGAGGTCGAAGCCTAATTTAAGTGGGGGAGAGTTGTAACATCCTAAGTTCTGGAATATAATTTCGGGGTGCTATGTGTAAATAAAGGAGTAGACTCGACGAGTAGGTGTCTTAACTCGTCGAGTCGGAGCGGGTGTTGGGCACGTGTTAAGTGACCCGACTCGCCGAGTCGGCGGCGGGACTCGACGAGTCAGTGCTGGGAAAAGAAAACCCTAAATTTTTGGGTTTGCACCCTATTTAAAGGATCTTATGTTCTCACCTCAGCCTCTTTGTTACCCCTTGAGAGTCAGTAAACCCTAAAATCGTGCGTGAGCCATTGGTGAGAGTTTTGAGCTTTGGAAGGTGATTCTAGTGAAGGAAACTTGTAGATCAAGAGGCTAGCATCAATGAATTCGTGTAGATCCAGAATCTACTTCATCTTGGGCACATTTTGGAGGTAACAAGTCGTTGCCTTGAGCTCTTCCTTTCTTGATCTATTCTTGGATTATGATTTGGGGCTATTTAGCATGTTTGGAAATCCATTTCGGGTTTTGGGACTAGATCTGGGGTTGCAACTTCAGATCTAGACTTATCTTGGTCCATGGAGGCAAAAAGTATCAGCCCTTTAGCTTGTTTGTGAGCATTCTTGTCTTGAACCTTCTCTCTAGCTTGTATTGAGCCAAAATCACCTTGCATACACGTAAAGTTGGAAACTTTACGTGTAAAACTAGCCCTAAGAGTCCAGATCTATGAGTTGGAAGCAGTGGGATGGACTGAAATTGTCTGAATGAGGATGACTTAAGTGAACTCGGCGAGTCTGTTCTTGGACTCGACGAGTCGGGTCGCAAACCCTAACCCATCTGGTTATGATAAGGATCAGTGAGTTGAGTGATGACTCGGTGAGTTGGACAGGCTAGGACTCGGGGATTTATGAACACGACGACTCATGGGGTGACTCGGCGAGCTGAGTCGTGATATGAGGATTTTCTGAGTTTAGGAACTCGGCGAGTCAACGGGCTGACTCGGCGAGTAGGGTCAATCAGGAAGGCTGACTTTGACCAGGACTTTGAATTTGACCAAGAGTTGAACAGTTTGACTTCCAAGGGTATTCTGGTAATTTGGGCACTTACAGTTATGGTTTCATCAAAGTGTTAGGTGGTGGAGTTCGTGGCCGTGATCGGGGGATTTGATCGTACCTCTTCAGTTCGGCATTTCGAGGTGAGTTATCCTCACTCTATCAACAGGGTCTAAGGCACCAAGGGCGGCCCTTTTCGGATTGTGTACTTGTACTTGTTTGATGTGCTTATTGATCTGTTAAATCGGCGTCCTGGTAATTAGGACGGTATTATGTTAGTGACCTGGTTTAGGTCGGTGTCCTGGTATATAGTATAATGCTATGTCAGTGACGTGGTTTAGGTCGGTGTCCTGGTATATAGGATGATGCTATGTCAGTGACCTGGTTTAGGTCGGTATCCTGGTATATAGGATGATGCTATGATTAGTAACAGGTTAGTTCGGTATCCTGGTTAGGATGTTGCTATACTATATGATCTGTTAGATCGGTTCGTTGTCTATGGACTGTCATGTGATTACCTGTTATATGTGCACATGGTTATTTGCTTGATGTTTGGGTTGAGGCGGTCTTGCTTTATGCTGAAGGCCAACATACCCTACGAGCGGTCTGGATAGATTGTAGGCCCGTATGGCGGTCCAGTCATACCGAAGGCTCGGGATAGGTCCAGATAGACTATAGGCCCGGTGCGGGCAGCCCAGTCATACTGTAGACTCAGAGAGTGGACCAGGTGGACTGAAGGTTATGCATTCTATGGGGGTTAGCTGGTAGCGGGACTGTATGTGGTTTGAGGATTAGTAGGCAGTAGTGAGTTGTATGATTTTTGTTGCCTGTATTATGTGCCTACTTGATCATGATTGTTTCTATGTCGACATATTGTGTTTGGTTGGGTTGAGGCGGTTCTGCTTTGTGTTGAAGGCCAACAGACCCAGGGCAGACCAGATAGATTGCAGGCCCTATAGGCGGGCATATTAGTCAGGCCAAAGGCCCAGAGAACGGTCCAGACAGGCTGAAGGCTCGGGTGGGCGGACCAGACATGCTGAAGGTTCTGAGAGTGGGCTAGTGAGACTGCATGTCTGGTAGGGGCAATTCAGTCTTACTGTAGACTCTATATGCATGCTGTTTGGTTATATGTTTATATGATATGGTTATATCTGTATGACGTTGGTATTTTGGGGGTAACTCACTAAGCCTTCGAGCTTACATTTATCGATTATTGTTTCAGGTACTTCTGATGATCGCGGGAAGGCGAAGGCGTGATCGTACAACTCTTCATATTTCCTGATTTTATGATTTGATTCTGGGAATACTCTGATGCTTAAACTATTTTAAAAACAAACTGTAATAACTTAATGGTTTTAAATGTTTTAAAAAGTTTTAAATTGGCTTAGAATTTGATGGGGCATAGAAAACCTTAGGTTTCTTTTTTGTGCCAAATATTCCTACGCCTATTCTACTTCTCCTCATTCTTCTTTTTATCTGCATCATCAAATATTGTTTTGGTCTATTTCCGTTTCTGCCTCCGTCGTTCCTTGCTGTTACAGGTTCGTCTCTGTAATTTGCTTCGACCGAGGAAAACCACCACATGTCGCCATCGTCACCGTCTATTTCGCCATCTTTTAACAATATCAATAATGGAGTTGAAGAACAACAATACGTAAACCATGAGCCGATGTTTGTACCTGTTCTCAATCCATCAATACTGTATGTCGAGCAGATTAAGCCAGCTTCCATGAACAAGGTGCTTCAAAGTTAAATTTTCAACTTACTTTATGGTTTTTGACAATTTTTAATATGATAAACTTTGGAAAAAGGGCAAGAGTCGAACCCTCCATCATACAGGCTACACAAAACACATGAACACTTAACACCGGTAATCTTTCATGTGTATGATTAACCTATTTTGTTTCTATAGGAAGCGTGTGACATTCTTACTGTTCGTTTGTGTGTTCGTTTGTGTAGGGGTAATAAGGGAATAAGGAGGTGGAATTGATAGCAAATCAACCATTTGAAAGGAATCAACTGCTTAATTAATTTGACAGTAAGGTTAGCAATTACTTTAATGTTTAAATGTTGGATCTTTTGTATAATTTTAAGGACTTTTCTGTTTTCCTTAACCTTAATATTTGTTGAATTTGATTGTTTACTTGAAGATTATATATAGAGGCAGAGAATCTGATTGTTGGATTACAAAGACAACACTGAAGCTTCAAGTCCTATATTTTCCATTGGAGAATATTAGGATAATATGGCTTTTGAATGTGGTAAACAACCAAGGTAAATACTTTTTTTAAGTAAAAAATTAATACTTGAAGAGTCTACATATAGCTTCCAATTTTTAGGCGGTTAATAAGCTTAAAAGGTTAAGCAGTTACTCTGTCTGAAAAAAAAACCCTACCTTAGTGTATTCAGGTGAATCATTTAGTTGGCTTCATAATTGCTTTTGTTTAAACAAAAGTAGAAATATGAATGGAGAGTGTGATACTTTGTTTGCAGCCATGTTACAAATTACAATTGTAATATTCATTAAGATTCTACTTCACAGAAACATATTATTTCTATATATACAGATGACATCCCTTCAATATGAATGTATACACAAGTAGAGAAAGTCATGACTTTACAACTGGATGCGTGTAGGGTTAAGTCAACCAATTTAGTCTGCATGATGTAAACTGTAATTAATTATTAACAACTTAACGATAAGTTTATTTTGCTTAAAATCAAAATTCAAGATTTGTACAAAGGGAAAAATAGACATCAACACACATTAACACACACACACACACACACATCTGTATAGGAACAAAAGTAAGCTTCTCAAATCCAATATATGTAATTCCTCCAAAACGATTAGGAGTGTCAACCTGTTTGACAAATAGAAGACTCTGCATCACAATTCACATATGTCTTTGCTTATAAGAACCAATGATTTAATTTTTTTACTAATATTTTTTAAAATTCTGATTCTCCTATTCCTTCAACCATTATAGTTTCACGTTCAAATCAAGGGTAACTTCTGATTTTATTTTTTACTAAGATGTGTTGCTGCTAAGTTCGTTAGCAATAGGATTGTCTACTACTTTTAACAAACTTAAAATAATATGCAAACATCATGTAACTAGAACTAAATCAACTTTAAAAGTAGGTGGATATTATTATGTTTGACAAGTTTATAAGAAATATGAAATCAAAGAACATAGTCATTGATGTTATGGTTTAGTGAACCACGATACTATTCATTTGTTGCAATACATGTATATGGTTTTGTTGTTTCATTTGTTTTCCATTTGGGCCCACGTGCTGCTACAACAACACCTGGAAGAATGAGCTCGAAGAGAAACAACAAGGGTGGAGGTGGAAGTCGGTTTGGTGCATCCTCTGTACAATTACAATTTTTTCCTTCATCATCAACACCTCTTCAAATTACTGTTGATGATGCTGTGTTTGAAAACTCCGGAATGTATGTATCATTCCTTGCATCTTTTTTTTAAATCTATTTGATTTTAATCAGATTGTAACTGAAAGTGCATTGTTATTTGATTCATATATTGATGATGTATATGTATTTTCGTGTATAGATTTGCGAAAACTCCATTCAGGAAAAGTTTGGAATCACCTTCTGCATGGATGTCACATTGGTTTTCTTTTGTGCCTGGTCCAAGAGTTGATACAGGTATAACAATCGAGGTAATAACAATTTCGCTGGAATTGGAATCCGAGATTCCATTCCGTGGCCTAATAAACATAATTCAATTCTGTCACAATCGTTTAAAAATCCATGTTTGATAGATTTCACTTGCCATTCCTACGAAAGGTGGAAGGAAGGAAGGAATTCAATTCCATTTATTCCTTTTTATTTACCAAAAAAGACCAAAATACCCTCTGTTTATCTTTTGTTTATTGTTTGTACTATATGGGTTACTTTATGAGGCCAGGTGAAAGAAGCTATGATGCTCCTAGGGTAATGAAACAATTATGTGAACATACAACTTCAGTATATGCAAATGCTCGGGAGGTTTTAGGAGATGAAACTCCTGATTCCATTCTAAAGAAAAGATTCTCAAAAAAAGGCGAAAAGACTCGACAAGAATCAAATCTTCCAGTATGTTTATTTTCTTCGCTTTTTTGCACAGAGCTTTCGTTCTCAAAATGGTGGGTCAATTAAGAACTTTACCTATGTTTCTAAAATAGTAAGAAAAATAGAGTATCAATGAGAGCTTAACAGAAAATTCAAAAGTTTGATTTAACAGTTTTTGATATAATTACCTTGCAGCCATTAGTTGGAAGAGTTTTGAACCATTCCTTTTTCTTACTTTCCAGACTTCTATATGTTACCTACCGTTAAATCAAATTTAGCAATTGCAGATGATTACTATTACACAGTTTGTGATATGTAATTAGGTTATTTCAATTTCATTTTAAGAAAATAAATTTTGACAAAATCTTTTCTTAGTTAACAAATAAAAGTCAATAATTAAACTTCCAGGGTTGGTTTAAAAGCATCAGCTCTTTTCGGGGGTTTTTGGCTTAGTATAATAGCAATGTGCTTTTGTTAAATTCACCTATTCTGTTTTTTTTCCTTTTAATATTTTTTCTGTAAAAGCATCAGTTTTTCTTTTTGGTTTTTTTTTTGCTGATCGGTCACTTCAGGAGACAATATTGACGACGAACAAGTAATTGTTAGTAAAAGCTTAGGATATTAAAACCAAGATTTTCTATGTATCTATACACATACAGACACAAATAATTAATTTTATGCCAATACCTTTGTGAATTACGATCCATACATCATCATTCCTATCTAATTATGGGTGATATTTACATATTAATAAATTCAATATTATTTAAATTTAGTAATTCTTAGAATATATATAACAATTGCATAACAAAAATAAATAAATTAAGATTTTGTTAGGTCAACCGCCAATACAACAAAATTATAACATCTGATATTGTTTGTCATTAGGGCCAAGGGTAGTTGTGGAACCAATGGTAAATTTGGAGATGATACACTCACTCCAAATTTTAGTTCTATAGATATACTAGGTGTAGTGGCGGGAAATTTGGAAATACCATTTTTTTTTTGAAATGATGATGGATAATGAATAACAGATTTTTTCTTTTGCCTTCAAACTCAATCATCAATTGATTAAATACATGCATAGATTACTCTGACCCTGTCTCATTTTTTGATGAATTGGTTAAATGTACGCATAAGAATTACAGACCAATTATTTATCGTTGTATATATATGGAACTCAAAAGATGATTTGGCAGACTTTATTCTTTAGAGTGATCTCTGATACATCTGTACCTGTGAATCTTCCCTAGTTTAAATGATTCATCAAACAAAATGAATTTAATCAAGCAAACATTTGCCCTAAGACAAACAAAATCATTTAATTTTTATAATATTCCTATTCAATGTGATTATGTTTGTAAAACATAATCTTAGTTAACATTGATTGGGAAGGAAGGAACTAGTAATCCATTTAAGAGGACTTTATCCGGGAAGGAACTTACATTTTCTAACTCAGAATGAACTGGAAATGTGAGATGCACTAATCGGAAAGTGACTTTCTCTTGACTTGACTTTCCCTATTGGCTTTGACTGTGGTAAGTCATTCACTTGGAAGAAGGGCAAGTTGGGACCTCGATTTATTGGTCCGTTCAGGATTTCTGCCCGATTCGGTAGGGTTGCTTATCGACTGGACCTCCCGGATGAGCTGAGTCAGATTCATAACACCTTCCATGTGTCCCAGCTTCGGAAATGTGTCACCGATGAAGCTGTAGTTATCTCTCTGGACGACATTCATGTAGATGAGAGCCTGAATTATATTGAGAAACCCATTGCAGTTTTGGATAGGAAGACTAAGGTTCTTCGTAACAAGGAGGTGAAACTAGTGAAGGTGAAATGGCAGCACCGAAAGGGCTCCGAATGGATATGGGAGCCGGAGGATGAGATGCGGGAGCATTACCCAGATCTGTTTGCGTCTGCGGACTTCGAGGACGAAGTCTTATCCAAGTGGGGGAGAGTTGTAACACTCCAAATCAGGTATTACTCTTTGGACCCTTGAAATGGAAAAATATGGCATACTGGTCCCTTAGTATGTGGGGCGTACTCCAGGAATACGCTTAGCATACCAAGGATAAATGATTGCGGAGGATGACCCCGTACGCTGGGCGTACCAAGAGGTACGCCGGGGCGTATGTGACAGAAGGGCAAAACCCTAATTCTCGGACTTGACAACTATTTAAACATCCTTAAGCCTCTTGGACTAAACCCTAATCAACCTCTAGAGTCTCATTTCATCCCTTTACCTCAGTTTCCCTTTGAGAGTGTGATTTTGGAGCATAGAAGTGTGTTGGTGGCCATTTTTGGAGCTTATTCAAGAAGAAGAAGTTAGTAAGCAAGCTTGGGGTGGCATTGGGCTTCAAGATCCTGCATCTAGTTCACCTTGAAGAGCTTCTGGAGGTATAAAGTCTTAATTTTGCCATCTTATCATTAGATTGAGCTATGGTTTGCTATATTGTCCCATTTGATGGGTTTTAAGCATTCTAACACTTCCTAAGTGTACATGCAACCCTAATAACCTTGAATCTATGTTTTGTCTATATACATGCAAATTTCTTTTTCAAGGTTATTTCCTAACTAGCATGGCATGGGGATTACATAAAACATAAAGACTAGTAGAAATACATACCTTGTTGTTGCTTGGATTCCTTCAAGACTTTGTGAGCCTAGCACCCCAAATGTTGTGCCTCAAATGCTTCACACAACACCACAAAACTTGGAATAACTTGAGAGAATACTTCTTACACCCAAAATCGGTTATGCCCTCACAAGAACTCTCTCGTCCGATTTTGCTAGCCAAAGGGTCCCTTTTATAGTGTTGTCACAATTAGGGTTTCCACATGAATGCCCTTAATTGTCATGACTCTTCATTTCTCATGATCCATGGGTTTGTAACTCCCATATCCATGGAGTTCCAAATGGTTATAACCAAACCCATAAACCATGGATCATTAATCCACCATAAAAGAATTGATGATTGTCATAATCAACCCTATGTATTTAATTAGTATCACTTTGATCACCAAATTAATACTAGATTAATATTTGATCAATACTAATTAAATAATATTATTATTAATATATTAGAACTTATAATATATTAATAATCACAAGTGTCCTTTCTCTCATTTAGTCTATCCAAGTATTGCAATGCCATGCAACCCAAATGGACCATGCCGGGTCGGGTCAAGTACATACCAAATAAAGTTATGGACTTAGACATTATATCCAACAGTCTCCCACTTGGATAAGTCTAATAACTATATTTGCAGATATGACTTCAGGATCCGACTAGCAATCGTAGCTCTTTCAAAGTCTATCGAAACTGAGATAATAATGATACGCCATTTAAGATAAGTGATCATATAATCCTCTGCTCTCAAAATATCAGCCAGACAAACACATGGAACATGGTCTTACTTATTGTCCAGCATTTGTTTCTCGATCTCTGATTTGTTTCGACATAGAACTAAATTGAACACATCAATTAGGTTCTGACCGGGGCCGGTACATAAGTCAAAACCAAATCATCGAGGGGCCCAGATATCGCTTCTATTTCTAGAAGGAACAGATAAACTTCGACACATATGCTTGTACTGACTATTGGTTAAATTATGCACAAAAGCACGTTTTATAACATCGAGTTACCAATGCGTTTTCGTACAATCAATGAATAACCAACTCATAGTCAACAACTCATATCTCTAGGTTTAAAGATTTATATGATATTACCGTCTCACGATCACTCGAGATAAATTCCATGAAGTGATGCAAGTGAGCGTGGGTTGAATCCAATACCCAGGACTTATGAGCACTCATGAATGTTGTAGCAACTATTGCTATGTCTAATACCCTTTAGACATATCATACAAACCAGATTCATGACAGTCTTGATTCATATCTACTTCCGACATATGACCGACTGTGGAGAGTTCGAATAAAACATAATTATTCTGGAAGTCAAAACATGCAACATTGAAACCATAGTAAACGATTAACATAAGATAGTAACACTTTACTCATAAATAAATAACAACTTTTATTTAATCATCAAAATGTCAATTACATTTTACAAGTTTCAAAAATCTAATTATTGAAACTAATATCATCCTTCAGCCCGATGCGCCTCGCATGCTGTAAATGCTTAACCCTACTCAGTCCCTTCGTGAGGGGATCTGCTGGGTTCTCATCTAATGATACCCTCTTAGCCATGAGGAGTCCTTCTTCTATTCGATGTCTGATGAAATGGTATTTTCTATCAATGTGTCTAGATCTCCCGTGATCTCTTGGTTCCTTAGCCAAAGCAACCGCACTTTCGCTGTCACAGAAAATTTCCATTGGTTCCTTTATAGCTGGTACAACTCCAAGGTCTCCGATGAAGTTCTTTAGCCATATCGCCTCCTTTGCTGCTTCACTCGCTGCTATGTACTCTGATTCACAAGTAGAATCAGCTACTGTCTCCTGCTTGGAACTTTTCCAAGTAATTGCCCCTCCATTAAGGATAAAGACCCAGCCTGACTGAGAGCGGAAATTATCCCTATCAGTCTGAAAGCTAGCATCGCTATATCCTTCCACTCTCAAGTCATCACTGCCTCCGAGGGTAAGGACCCAGTCCTTAGTCCTCAGTAGATACTTGAGAATGTTCTTTACCGCAGTCCAGTGAGCCTTGCCAGGGTTCCCTTGATATCTACTGACCATGCTCAAAGCAAAGGCCACATCAGGGCGAGTACAGGTCATAGCATACATGATTGAGCCCACCGCGGAAGCATATGGTATATGACTCATCTCAGCTATCTCAGCCTCTGTACTCGGACTCTGAGTCTTACTTAGCTTGGCATTACTCTGGATTGGTAATTCTCCTTTCTTGGAATCTTGCATACTGAACCTCTTCAGTACCTTATCCACATAAGTACTCTGACTAAGTCCAATTAGTCTCTTACTCCTATCTCTCAATATCCTTATCCCTATGATATAGGCAGCTTCCCCAAGGTCCTTCATAGCGAAACACTTTCCAAGCCAGGACTTAACCTCCTGCAAAGTTGGGATGTCATTTCCTATGAGAAGTATGTCATCCACATACAACACCAAAA